CCCCCCCCAGTCTCAAGCTCTGCAAATACACCGCATTTTGGCGAGACCCACCAAGGAAAACTTCCACCAACTTGGGCCAAGTTCACCTTTAACTTCACGCCGGAGCTACAGCAGGGATGCATTTGTCACTCCTCCATACAACCCAGACAAGGGTCACGGGGATGAAAATGATTTAGCCCTATTTAATCATCTCCATTCCCCCATTTTCAGTGATATTAATATAATTAAATACTAGCTAAATAATTTCAAGTAGTTTAATCTTGTGTGAAGTGAAGGGGAAAAAAAAAAAAAAAAAAAAAAGAATGCCATTTTCACACGACGTGCCTACGATGTTGGATACGGTTGTGGTCCTGTTAACTGTTAGCAGGCACGCATGGAAGATGGGGAGGATTTCCTTAATTCACAAGGAGTAACTCTGCCAGAAAATCCTTTTCTCCTGCGATGTGTGTTCAAACTTGATTTCAGTAAGACCTCATACCAGGCACCTTGGCTTTCCAAACAGCAATTCTTTGGTTAAAGATTTTGTGATAAAAGTTAAACGGAGCAAAACATAGCTGAGCAGAGAAAGGGAAAGTAACTGAGGACCAGTTAAAAATACCGGGCTGCAAATAAAAATAGACACGGCTAGGCAAAAACCAAACAATTAACTTGAGCTGTCTTATTAGAAAGCTATTATGTGCAATACATTTGAAATGCAAAAAAAAAATCTCAGCCAAAACAACGCAAACCAGCTTTGCTCATGCCACAGAAGATAAACCACTGATACAGGGGCAAAGAGAGGAGCACGGTGCCACAAGCCAGAGCAGAGCCCAGCAAAATCAGAAGTGCTGAAGGCAGGAACCGCTTCCATCCCGAGACTAAAACATTTCCGACATGGTATTTCATCCTCCAAAATAACAACAAAAACCCGCCGCTGCTAGAATTATTCACGCAGAAACTGCAATGCAGTTTCATTATGCAAAATGGAATCTCACTTTTAGACTTAGTTATTTTGCTATAATACAGTGCAACACATTAAGACAGGTAATGTTTATTACATTAATGTAAAATCAGCTAAGTAGTCTGTCATTAGCATAACCGTTCTCTCCGTAACAATACAACTCCCTGTTAAAGGGCGGGGGGGGGAGCAACCCTCTTTAAAATTAAATTAGCATTTTATTATTATAATTTTGTTTATTGTATTTTATCAGGAGGGAAGATC